GGAGGGATGGGAGAGCACTGGGATCCCGGAAGCAAGGGAGGGGACCAGTGCTGGGGCAGAAGCAGGGAAACCGAGGCTCAGTGGCCCCCAGACAGCCCTGCCGCTCCCTCACAGGCTTCTGACCTCTCCACCCAGGGCTGGGTCCCCAGTCTGGTGAGCATGGTAACAGTAGCTCTGCCTCCTGGGGCTTCCCAGGAGCCAACCCCCCAAGGAGAGGAAGTGGAAATCGTGTTGGAGGAAACCAGCTGAGGTAGGCTAGCCTGGGCTCCTGGGTACCCAGGAGGACCTTGCCGCCAGCTCTGCAATGGAGGTGGCCCGGCAGCCGCCCAGGACCCTGCTGGGACTTGTCTGGATCTACGCTAAGTCTTCACTCCCCTTTCACAGAAGGGCAAATGGAGGTTGGCTCCTCGGGTCATTTAGCAAGCATTCCTGGAGGCCACAGAGCCTTGAGGCCAGGGATTCTGCAGGGAGGAGACAAAGGCAGAGGAGTGTGGCCAGTTGGGAGGGCAGAGAAGGCCTCCAGGAGCAGGTGGCACCAGGGTGAGCAATGAACAGAGAGGAGCTGTGAGAGTAGCTGGGGGGGAACTCTGAGCCAGGGAACAGAAAATGCAAAAGCCCTGGGGCAGGACAAAAGGCAAAGGCCCTGGGGCAGGACAAAAGGCAAAGGTTCTGGGGCAGGACAAAAGGTGGTGTCGAGGAGAAATGAGATGAAAGAGGTAGGCAGGCAGGGGCTCGGTGAGGAATGTGTGTATGTCTTCATTTTTCTTGGAAGCCTTTAAGTAAGTTCAATGACTTTAACTGATTCTGGCAAGTGTGTGACTTGGGGACAGGGTCAGAGAGAAAGCAAGAGTGGCTGCTGCATGGGCACGAGGCGGGGGCCTCGGCCAGGGCCATACCTCTGTCGAGAATTGTGGGGTTCAGGATCTGTGGTGGGTGGACACAAAAGGTGGGAAAGAGGGATCAAAAATGACTTCAGGGTCTGTCATCCCGGCGATTCAGGAGGCTGAGGCAGGAAGATCACAAGTTTGAGGCCAACCTTAGCAACTTAGTGAGGACTTAAGCAACTTAGCAAGACTCTGTCTCAAAATTTTAAAAAAAGAAAAAAAGGGAAAGAAAGGAGGGCTGGGGCAGCCCAGTGGTTCAATCCCGGGTACCAAAAAGAAAACAAGGTCTTTGACGCATGCTCAGAGGCAGGAATGTTACCGTTGATGGAGTCAGGGATAGGGGGGCAGGGCAGATTGGGGGCCAGGGGAGAGGGTGCTGGGTTGGACATAGTGAGCCTGAGGTGCCCAATAGACCCCTCCGGGGAAGTGTCAGGAGCTGGGGGAAGGCGGGCTGGAAATGGAAATTTGGGAGTTGTCGTGTAAACCCAGAGAGTAGATGAGCTCATTCTGGGGTAAGTGCAGAGGAGGATCCGTGGCCCCCAGCACGCCCCAGCCACACCTGGCCCTAGGTCAAGGGGCCTGTCCAGGGCCCTTCTGCTCCCTGCGTCCTTCCCCAGCGCTCCTCCAGGGCCAGAGGCATGCTGCCCCGCCCTCCAGCCCCGGGAAGGCTGAGGCAGGGGGGATTTGCGGAGAGGGAGGTGCAGGGGGCTGGAGCCAGGCATGAGGGTGGCCCACCTGGAGCATGTGCTCCACCCCTGCCCAGCTGCTGTCTCCTTATCTGTAAAATGGGGACAATGACACCTCCCTGGTGGGACTGCAGTGGAGCTGGAACTGGAGGGCCTGGCGTGGAGGACGCGCCAGTTCATCCCTGCTGGGGCCTGGGCAGGCAAGGCCTTGGTGTCCTGCCGCCTGGGAGGGGGCCACAGTTGGGGAGGGGATCGGCTCCATCCAGGTGGGGTAGTGGACCCCTGGGAGCCTCTGCCTGGATGGAGCTGGGTTTTAGGTGGCTGCCTACCTACACCCCATGTGGGTCCCCAGCTGCTTCCCCAGGGTCCTGGTGCTGGCCTTGGCCTCTGAGAGCCCTTCTTTGGTCAGGCCTGGCCCTCCCTCCTCTGGCCCTCCTCTGGGAGACACCCACTCCCCACCGTAAAGCTCTGTGCTGTCCCTGAACACTCTGGGGCGCACACTGGTGTTCCCGTTTTAGATTGGGAGACTGAGACCAGAGAAGACGAGGGGTTAACTGGGATCTGAGGCAGGGGGTCGCTGTCTGACTGCAGCTATTTCCTTGAAACCTGCCCTGTGCCAGGCCCCAGGGACGGGGCTGAGAACAAGGTGGGCCTACCTGTGCTTCGGGAAGGTCCCAGCCGAGAGGACAGGCAACTGTGAAACCCACGAGGATCCCACAGGAGCCTGAGAGTGAAGAGAAGCCGTGGCCTGGGGCCAGAGAAGGCCCTCCGGAGGAGGTGGCACTAAGGCTGGGCAAGCAGAGGGAACCAGTCCAGGTGCCTGCTTGGCCCCAAGAGGGGAGAAGCCTGCGAGATGGAGGACCCTGGTGAAGGACCCTGAGTGAGAGGCAGAGGCCACAGGCCAGACTGAGAAGGCTGGGGAGGCAGGACGGTCGTCCCTGTCCCCGTAGAGCTGTGGCAGCTGCCCTGGGCGCCAGCCTCCGTGTGCCTCAGCGCACACACCTGCCCCACGCTCAGCAGTGCTGCCAGGGACTGCGCGTGGAATCCATTCCCGGGGGCTGGACTTGAGGAAAGGTGCCCTGCCAGGGACATTCTGCCCAAACCCCGCCCCTCCTGGTGGCCCAGAGGAGCTAGGAATGAAAGGTGACCCTGGCAGACAGCATCTGATCCCGGTGCCAGGAGACTGAATTTCCCAGGCTTTGGCCAGGGTCAGAGGGTGGAAAGGCAGAGGGTGGGGTGGGCAGGCAGGCGGGTGGGGCGGCGGCAGAGGAGCCAGTCACGGGGACAGTGTTGTCAGACGTGGGCAAGAGCAGAAATGGAGGCCCACATGCCATATGGCCTAACAACCCAGCTATAAATCAAGCGGCGGCTGCTAAACACGAGGCGTTCTGTTCTCCCACCTTGACGCACACACCTTCACCACCGCCTGGTAGGCTGGGTTTGAATTTAGGAATTGAGGTCCCTCTGAGTGGGGACAGATGGCCCCTTCCCCTGGGCTGCCCTGGTCCCTCCTCATTCCACCTCACTCCACCTCACGCCACCAGGAGCCTCCAGAGCTCACCCGGCCCTCATTCTCCGCTCCTCCATGGGCCCAAGAAGGACCCTCCTTGGGCCTGTGCTGCCCCCTGAAACAAAATCCATTTGCAGGAGGCAGACCCAGGGGTGGGCTAGGGACTGCATGAGAGGGGATCCCAGGGTTCCCAAGGTAGCCTGGGAGGGCTCTGCAGGCTCTAGCTGGCTCCCTTCCCTTGGCTCCTTGCCCCCCAGGGAGGGTGAAGCCGGACAAAGTCCAGAGGGCCCCCTGAGTGTGAGACCCAGGATGAGGGCCCGATTCCCCATGTCTAAGGAAGACAGTGCCCACCGCAGTCTTCTTGGAATCAACATCCCACTTGCAGAGCAGCAGAAATGAACACCCCAGGTTTTTAGATGGCCAAATGGCACACAGAGGGTAGGGAACCTGCCCGAAGTCACACAGCGATTAAATCAAGAGGAAGGACAGGAAGCGGCACAGGTCTCCACCCACATGTGCCACCCCATCTCCCCACTCCTCTGCTCCCCGCAGCGTCTCTGCACTCCTACCCACTCCCTGGACTGAGATCTGGGTAAGAACTGAGAGTGGAGCCCGGTGCAGTGGCGCACGCCTGTAATCTCAGCGGCTTGGGAGGCTGAGGCAGGAGAATCATGAGTTCAAAGCCAGCCTC